AAAGACAACAAGGTGTCCGTGATTATGTGATTAGTAAATTGAAAGAAATATCTGATGAAAATGCTCGTTCCGAAGTAAATAAAGTAAATTAAGTAAATGACTTTAGATTCGTAATCAGCAACCCAGAAAATCCCCAGATACCCAGTTACATAGAAATCTACCGATTTTTTTAAATATTCGTCCGCCATATTGGATCCGCCATTTTGAATTTTTGGTAAATGACTTTAAATATGTAATCAGCGACCCAGAAAACCCCCAGATACCCAGTTTCATTGAAATTACCGATTTTTTTTTTAATTTTCGTCCGCCATATTGGATCCGCCATTTTGAATTTTTGATAAGTGACTTCAGATTCGTAATCAGCGACTCAAATATCCCCTAGGTAAGAAGTTGTGTAAAGATCCATCAACGAGTATTTGTTTAAATAGTTTCGTCCAGCTAGATTTGCGATCCGAACCACTGCGACGCCCTCGCGAGGACAGATCTAATGAAGTCCTCGTTTGCTTGCCGCTCTACTCTTGCGCTGCCCTCGTTTGAAAACAGCCTTGCCTGTTGCTCGTGAGGTGCGCAAGCTCAGAGCAAACTAACGAGCAAGCGAGGGGCTAAAATGAGGCAAATCCGAACATTGACCATCTATGTAAGCATGTATGTATTTCTAACTGTGATACAGGAATCCGTCGACTATACAGAGGCAGGAGGAAAAAGTCAGGGTGACAGTTGATAAAAAAACCTGCTGCGCTTATAGGCCCCTATTATGATTCACAACTCTTGTTAACGTGGGACACAACTCAACTCAACTTTGAAAACGTAGTTGTGTTGTCTAGCACTAGCATCCTCGGGCTCGTCGGTAAAACATAATTCGTACCTGATTTCCATTTTTTTGCTTTTAATTATTTTAGTATCATTAAAATAACATAACATTATGAAAATAACAAAATTTGTATCGAATTTCCGACTTCTACAATGGGCTACAGTCAACTGAAATCAACTAAATAGTTGAGTTGTTGTTGTTGTAGCGGCTACAATAACCCCGCCCAGATCGGTTGATATCTCAGTCGTTGTCATTGAGTTCCACTAACGGCAGCCCTAGGAAGCGTGCAGCCTCTACGGGGTCGGTCCACAGGGACAACGTCGTTAGGGTTGTCGGGTTCTCTGGGCATGCGAAGAGATGTTTCGAGTCGTGAGGGGTCTCTGCGCATGCCGGACCCTCATTTGGCACTTCCTCATTTAGTCTACTCAGGTATGAGTTTAACCTGCTGCAGTAGCCAGAGCGAAGTTGGGCTATTGTTGTTCTTGTCTCCCGAGGCAGATAAAGCTCCGTCGCGTCAATGTCCGGTGTTTGTGTGCCTAGAACGGCATTCACAGGTCTAGAGTCTACATAACTCGAGACTGAGTCCCTGTGAATGCCGTTCAGGGCCTGTCGGTATGCTGACGGGTCCAGAGGCTGCTTAATAAAAATCTGGACTTCGCATGTCAGTTCATATAGATGCCTCCTGACGTGTCTAGGCGAGGGCTCCTCTGCAGGCAGCTGTCTGTTTGGGTGGCCGCATCTGTGGCTCCCAACCAGAAACTGCTTGCAGAGCATTATGTTATGCTCCCTAATTGCTAGCATTTTCGCCTCGTCATGGAGGTGGTGTTCAGGTGACATCAGGAGGCATCCGGTCGCTGTCCTGAGTGCGATGTTCTGTGCTGTCTGTAGCTTCATCCACTGCGTCCTACTAGTCCCCGGCGACCACACTGGTGCTGCGTAGTTTAAAACTTGCCGGCCTATTGCCTTGTTTGTTGCCAGCAACGTTTCTTTGTCTTTGCCCCAGGTACTGCCGGCTACCGACTTGAGGACTTTGTTGCGGCTCTGTACTTTGTTGACAATAGCGGTTGCGTGCGCAGAGAAGGAGAGCAGGCTGTCGAATGTTACTCCGAGTTTTTTGGGGTTATTCACCGTCGGAATTGGTGTATCATCAACGTGTATTCCCAGCGGTAGCCTGACCTCCTTCGTCCAGGTGGTGAACAAGGTCGCAGAGGATTTCGTAGGGAAGAGGGCTAGACACGTTGCAGTGAAGAAGCGAGAAAGATCGGAAAGATACCCGTTTACTTTTGAACACAGGTCATCAATTCCATTCTCAGTCGCCATGATCGAGCAATCGCCGGCGTAAGAGACAATCGAGACTCCCTCTGGTGGTTGAGGGAGCTTTGAAATATAAAAGTTGAACAGTAGCGGGGAAAGGACACCACCCTGTGGAACCACCTGTTTGATTTTCCTAAGTTTGCTCGATTTGTCTCTAAACATTACCGACGATTGTCGACCACTCAGATAATTTGCCGATCACCGTTTGAGCCTCTGTGGGAGAGAGGAAGCCTCTATATCTTCTAGTAGCGTGGAATGGCTGACAGCGTCAAAAGCCTTTGACAGGTCCAACGCTACTAGAATCGTTCTCTCACAGCGACGGTTACGGATAAGGCCACGAGTTATCTGAGTGTTTATGGCGTTAAGTGCTGTTGTTGTACTGTGTACGGAAACCATGCTGATGCTTCGCTGGGGTCAGATGGTTCGTGAAATACGGGAGCAGCAGGGCCTCAAGTGTCTGCGCTACCGGGGAAAGGAAAGGAGTGTTATCGGTCGATACGAATCTCCTTTGTTGGCAGGTTTCCCCGGTTTGAGCAGTGGGACCACTCTCCCCACCTTCCAGATGTCTGGGATGATGAGAGTGGCCATAGACAAATTGAGGACCTCCGTTAGGTACGCTACACCCGCAGGACCCAAATTTTTCAGCATTAGCATGCATATTCCGTCGGGACCCATGGCTTTGGAAGCTTTCGCCTTCCCGATGGCCACCTGAACTTCACCGCAAGTGAAAGCAACGGGGGCACAGGTTGTTGGCAGTTTGTGCAGCCTTCTGGTCACTCGACGCTTGGTTTTGTCCACCGGAGGATGCAGTATGAACTGCCGGCTAAAGTAGCTCGCGCATCGCTCCGAGTCCGACGAGGCATAGTCGCCGAAAGAAATTTCGACTTTGTCGTCGTGCTTCGTCGGATTGGACAGTGACCTCACGGTTGACCAAAGGCTACTCACACCAGAGGTGAAGTTACAGGTCTTCAGATGTTCTTCCCACTTCTTCCGCTTATGTACGTTCACTAGTTGCTGAATCTCCGGGTAGAGATCCCTGATACGGGGATCTCCGGGATCGGCCTGACGAAGGCTGTCACGCTCATCGGCTAGAACAGCCGCTTCGGCAGGGAAATTCGGACGTGGGTCCGTGATGTATTCTGCCGGTACGAAGCGGGCTGCAGAAGCAGTGACAGCCCTGCGGAACTTACGTTCACCAAGGTGGACGTCGGTTGGTGTGGGGAGAGCAGCGAAGGTGTTTTCAGTAAATTGCGCGAAGCCTTTCCAATCAGCTTTGGAGAAGTTGATATATGTTCGGTGCTCCGCGGAAGCAAAGTCGGTTGGTCTATCGATCGAGATGACTATTGGGCAGATGGTCTGATAACAAAGTCAGCATAGGTCGCCATGATATGCTGTTTATCAGACCAGCGCTGACTATTGTTATGTCTGGCGAGCTGCGGCAGCTGCCCATAATCCTGGTGGGTGCGTCGTCGTTCATTGTGCAGAATGTCGAATCGTCTATCTTCTCAGCCAAATCGTTTCTCCTACGATCGTTTGACAGGTTTGAGAGCCAAAGATCGTCGTGCGCATTAAAGTCACCTACTACCATTCGGTTTTCACCTCTGAAGAGCGCACCTATATCAGGGTGATATCCTGCCGGGCATCAGGTGACAGGGGGTATGTATACGTTGAATATTTCGAGCACAACATCGTCTGACCGGATAGCAATGCCCTGACATTCTAGGGTGGTATCCCTGCGGTCGATGTCTGCTTCGATAAGACGATACTGCACGGTGTGGTGCGTGATGAACGCTAAGCCACCACCATTATCTCGCTCGCGATCTCGACGGTGCACGTTGTACCCGGCACAATTCAACAATGTTGAATTGCTGTGCAACTTCGTCTCTTGGATCGCAGCTATCAGTATACCATGCCTCCCCATGAAGACGGTTATCTCCTCGATCTTGCTCTGAAGCCCGTTGCAGTTAAATTGAAGGACCATCATGTGGTTCGGGAGACGTGTGGTAATGCGGGGTTTGCGAGATGCGTGTGGCCGTGACGCCATTGGCTT